AGAGAGGGAGACACAGAATCCGAAGCAGGCTCCAGGCTCTGAGCTGTCAGAACAGAGCCCGATGCGGGGCTCGAACTCACGGACTGTGAGATCATGACCTGAGCCGAAGTCAGACGCTTAACTGAGCCACCCAGGCGCCCCTCTTAGGGGTTTTAACTTCGGGTCTACTCATTCCTCCAAAGGGCCCGTCACCGTCCTGAACTTATGTGGCGACCTGGTGCCCATCTGTGTATTTTCGTGGACGCTACTGGCCCACAGTAGGGGATCACATTCTTAAAGGAAACCGTGACCCGCTCCCCATCCCCAAATACGATTAAGGAATCCTGAAAGAAGATTCTAATAAGGAAGCCCGGGTTGCGCAGCCCAGGCTGGGGTGGGGCGAGTACTGGGGTGCCGCCTCACAGGCTGGGCTCCGGCTACAGGCCCCGACTACACACAAGGAGATAAAAACTTGCAAAAGCAAAACAGAAACCCCCAGAACTGCTGCTTACACAGTCTCCTGAAAACACGATGTCCGTTTTGCTCAATACTCGCGGCTCTCACGGCGGTTTTAAAATGAGGTTTCCTGTGACTCTGACCGACAGGGTGGAGCGCCTTCACCGTTTGACAGAAACTTTGGAACCAAGATCTCCGCCAGAGCCATGCAGTGGATCAGCACAAAGCTAAAGGAGGCTCAGGGGAAAGGTACCGAGTGCCGGCGGGAGGGCGGAACCCCGCGCGGGGGAGGGGGGCGCCTCTCCTGCTTCGGTTCGTCCCGCCTCGAGCCGCGTGCGACACTCCCCGCTAGCCATCTGGCCTCGGGGTTGTGACCAGGGGTGTCCGAATCCATGCGGTCCCCTGCCGGGGAGTGGCGGAGATGCTCAAGTGACCGCGTGGCGTCCCTCCGCCACAGCCAAGGAGAGCCGCGCACACGCTGGGCTGCGGTGGCAGGCCCCAGCACCTGACCCTCCCTTGTGCCTCCGACACTGATCTGGCTTGTACTTAGCACACCTGAGACCTGGATTCACTCGTGACCGTTCTTTTCGGCGAAAACCAGGAACTGGCAGATGCCTGGGCCGTTTGCGCCTTCAAAGCCCGAGTGTGTCCTTCCCGCACGGTCCACTCCCTCCCACCAGGGGGAGGCCTCAGGATCGCAGAACCATTCTTTCCTGGAGTCCCGCCACTTGGCACGAAACCTTCAAAGGCTCTCGTAGTTTAGCGCATATAAGCCCACAGCGTGCGTGGCCCTCTGATGTCGCGTTAGGGTTTGGAGATTTGCCGCGTGGGTGTGCGCGTGTCTGGGGTTCCGGTGCTGGAACCCTGCCCCTGCCCCCGGGGCCCGCTGGCTTGCATGGTCCGGCAGGGGAGACGTGCTCACCAGCCACAGGCTCACCCTCGCGGTGTGCGATTTCCCCGTCACTTTCGGACGACTGGTGTGATGTGGGTGCGAGGCAGCTTTGCTGTGGCGTTGAGGCGACCTTCCAAAGCGATGAAGGAAATGCCAGGTTCCCTCATGTTTACCTCAAGGTCTTGCTGTTCTGTGGGGTCTTTCAGTACTCTCGTTTCTTAACGAAGTCCTCCGAATCTTTTTGCAGCCGGTATACTTTTTCCTTTACGATTTGAGCTTTTTTTTCTAAAGCATCCTTCTATGTCAATGTGTTTGATCCGCTGGAGTTGATAGGAAGCGTCAGGTCTGAGTTCATTTTCATGTGGAGAGTCACGTGGGTGCCATGTGCAAAGTGTCTAGTCTCCATCACAGACCAGCTATGTGCAAACTTACCGGGACCATCCGTGGGCTACTGGAGTCACCGTGGGGCACTGGGTTACTGACCCCTGCAGCGTTCAGGTTTATGAACAATTACGGATAAGCCGGTCCTCCTTCCACTTTCCAGCCATTCGTGGCCTTGTGAGCTGGCACAGAAATAGAAGCCGATTGTTAGCGCCCGCCAAAACCCATGTGGGGTTTTTTGAGAGAATTACATGTAATCAAGAATTTGCAGGTAGACTTGACATTAAAAAAAATTTTTTTAACGTTTATTTTTGACACAGAGCATGAACGGGGGAGGGTCAGAGAGAGAGACACAAAATCCGAAGCAGGTTCCAGGGTCTGAGCTGTCAGCACAGAGCCCGACGTGGGGCTCGACCTCACGAGCCGTGAGATCATGACCTGGGCCACAGACGCCCAACCGACGGAGCCCTCCAGGCACCCCTTATCTCTTATTAAAGCATAAAGATCTTACATATCTTCTGCTAAGTTTACTCCTAACTTCTTGATATTTAAAAAAAATGTAAGGTTTTTTTTTTTTGTTTTGTTTTTTACGAATTGCTGACATATAGAAATACAGTTGTTGTAAACGGAGCATATGATCAGTAATGTTTTACACACTCTTAGATCGTGGATCTGTCTTTCACATCCATGGACATCTTTCCATGTGCATACAACCTTACACTCGCGGGTGTGCGTTTTACTCCAGAGAACTCTGAAGAGCTGCTCTGATGGCGGGATTCCTGCCGAGGCCTCGGCCCCAGTGAGAACAGGGGACACTGTCAGTGCTCCTTGACGAAGCATCCCTGTCCTCTGAGGTCTCTCTGCAGTTAGCGTTTGCTGTTGGTCTTTGGTAAACTTCCGATACTTGAGGCTACTGGTGTTCACTACGTGTTCGTTTGGTCACAAAAGGATACTTTGCCTTTTTCGTATCTTATGAAACCATCTCGTAAGCCAAAATGGTATAAAGTGAAGAAACGATTCACTTATGCCAGAAAATTCCTGAGCATCCCTAGACCCCCCACCCCCCACCCCACCCCCCCCGCCCGACCACTTAGGACACACACGCTGCTAAGGGTGCACGAAAGAAATTGAGGTGAAGCCCAGAGGACACACAGCTCAAGGCTCGCGTGGCTGGTGTGCGGGTCTCGTGTGCGGGTCCCAGGGAAGGCGCCCAGTGGCACCAGTCTCACTGCCCCTGCCCACTCCCTGCAAAACAAAGCTCAATGCTCTTTGAACTTTTTGTCATGTTTTTTGTAAAAGAAAAAATGTTTGGTCTTTCATAAAATGTTTGGTCTTTCATAAAAGCAGGGTAGCTGCACACACTTTTGTGTAGACCGAGGTGGTCGCGTGCCTTTTCTGCACCTGGTTTCCTGCTCCCTGGCCCCGCACAGGCCGGTGTGCAATATCCTGTGATGGCCTTTCCCTTAGGTGATTTACCGCTGTCCTGTCCCCGGCAGGTGCGGGGTGCCAGCCTGCTCTGTCGTAGGAGGTCTAGGGGTGTGGGGGCTCCCTGCGGAAATCGGGGAGACGGGAGTTTTGCCCTGCTTTCTGGAGGGCTGAGACCCCGCCCCCTCAAGCCTCCTGCTTCCTTCATAGGGAGAGTGGAGCACGGTTTCCCTGACGTTTACAGAGCTGCTCCTGCTGTCTTTAATCTGTTCTGGAAGCTCTATTCTAGGAATTTTCGGGTGCCTGTGGCGCTCATAACCCCCTTTTCCTGCAGATGCTGGTTACTTGTGTCAGTGCCTGTCCTCACCCCGTTTTCCTGACCGGGGCTGACTAGATCTCTGCGTTTATTAGCAACGTCTAAGAACTAGTAATGCAAATGCATCCAGCCTGGTTTTGGTCTCAAAGAACCGCCACGGGCTTTGGTTCTTTCCACGACCGCCGGTTTCGTACATTTCTTGTTTGGGGTCTTCTTTTCCCAGTTCCCTAAGGACGCTCATGCCCTTAACTTCTAGCTGGTCTCGTAGGTGCGCTCGTGAACCTCTGCCTCCCGTAACATTTCACCGAGGCCGGCTCGTTCTGCAGTTGGCGCCAGTGTTCTGATTCCAGCATTTAGGGAGACACTCAGTCTCAACTCTTAGGGCGCTCCTTTCCGGGCTCTGCATTCTGGGGGCGGATCACTTAGTGCAGGTAACGGCACCGCTCGGGTTGAGTGTGCGAGGAGGCCACGCCTCCACCCAGACACTTTCTCATCTCTGCCCTCCGCCCCTGGCACAGTCGTGTGCGGTGGTCCCCCAGGACTTGTCCCACCTCGTCAAAAGCCCTGGGAGAGATCGGGGGCCTTGCCTCTGCTCAGAGGTGGGGTGGGGGCACCAGGCATCGGGTCTCTGCCCCGCACCCCTCCCCTCCTTCCTCGCTGCTCCTTCTGTCCTCAGCGTGCAGATCATTTGCTCTGACACCCCTTATTTTACAGGAAAAAGGTTTATGACCGATGATTGCATTTGCGTGCTGGGAATAAGCAAAAGAAACCTCCTTTTCCAACCTGTGGCACAACTGAAGAAGGAAACAGACTTTGAGTAAGTAAATAAAACAGCGCGTGTAAACCTCACTGCCCTTAGAAGTGTGAGCGACAGAGGGACGCCGCTGCTGGGGTCAAGGTCAGTAACTCGTTATCGCAAGTGACTCAGGAATTAACACAAGACGTAGAAGCGGCAGGATTTCTAGGAGCGTATAAAACGGTGTTGCGTACCTCGTGAAACTGCTCGATCGTCCACCCCTCCCTGGGCCGCCTCGGCTGGCGCGGGCAGTCCTCACGGCCGCTTCCTCCCGTCCACAGGCACCGGATCCCCAAGGAGCAGTGGTGGCTGAAGCTGCGGCCGCTCATGAAGATCCTGGCCAAGTACAAGGCCAGCTACGAGGTGTCCGACCCCGGCCAGCTGGAGCACGTGCACCACCGAGGCCACGAGGAGCCTGCCGCCATCTAGACGCCGCCGGCCCGCACCGCCTGGCTGGCGCTGCTTCCGACTTCCCGTTTACTGCCAGTTTTTGTAACACTTAAGTTATTTATCGGCACTTCGCGTGAGTTCTGCTGACATTAACACCCGGTCACAGAGCCCCCCCCGTCCTGTCTCCCTCTCCCCGCGGACCCCAAGGCTCCAGCACGACTTGTCTGCTGCGTCTCCTACTGTTTCTCGCTTTCAAACATGTGTATCCAGTAGAATTAAACGTTTGGCTAAAACTCCAACCATGGGACTCAATTGAGTTTTTTAGGTAGGCACTTAAATCCTCAGGATAAAGGTTTTGTCGGCAGTTTTACGGGCAGGTATTGACGGAGTGTTTTGACAGGGATCAGTGCACGTTCCGAGTCATCGCGGGCAACAGAGATGCCGCTTTGACACACGGTACACTTGCCAGGTGCGTGGAGGTGGCCCAAGTCCCAAAGTGACTCCACACGTTGGAGTAAGTGATAGAAACTGGGAATGTGTCTTCAGAACGAGGTGAGCTCACACAGCGGACTTCATTCCCAGCCGCACACTGACGCCAAGGTTCTCCTACCGAAGAAGCAAGTCAGTGTCCGGTGGGACCCACGCTCGGGGCTGTGGGCCGTCACAGGCAGAGGGACGGGGACGGCCCTGCTTCCCTGAGGGCAGTAAGATGGTCACCTCACATCTGTGTTCAGTGAAAAGCATTCCTGCCTGTTCTGTCGTCTAGAGACGTGAAATGACCCGGGCTACAGACCCGAATGCAGGAAAGGCATCGTCCGGAGATCTGCTGAGGGGCGGAGAGGCAGACGGGGACCAGCACCGAGCGCGCTTTCTGTCTGAAATATGCACAGTGAGCAACACGGGAGACGGTGGGAGAAGGGTAATGCTTACCAGGCCGCCCTGGGTATCACCCATCTGTTCCAGACTTTTCCACGGGGCCTGGCTGTGACCACACTGGTTCACACATCAGTGCACGTTGGATACCTCTGTTCACTTATTTTTTAATAAGGGCCCCAGGAGCTCCTGTAGCAAAAGGTCATTTAAAATAATGACTAAAGAAAGTACGGGTGAATCAGAGTTGCCCTTTATTTTTAAATTTTTAAAATAAATACTCCATGATTTGTAGGTAAAATAAGCACTTAGACGATGAGAAACTCTGAGTTATAATCTGTGTGTCTCTAACACTGAATACACCATCATGATCATCTCTTTCCTTCTAAGGGAGGAGTTTGGTCTGACCGGCCACACAAGAGTGACACATGACCAAGATGGGGTGGGGGAGGGAGGGACAGTAACTTTCCCACCTTTCAAGTTAAATTAGCTCAGGCTTCCCTTCAAGGGCCATGCCTGCCTGTCATCCCATCCCAGTCCCGAGCACAGACGTGTTATCTGACTATCCATGACGGGTCCTTAGCGATTTTTGCGTTCTCCGGTCCGAGCAGGGCCAGGCCACGTGTGCCCCTCCCGACGCCGAGGTACCTGGAGGGGGGGTGGGGGTAGGTCAGGGTCAGGGCCGTTCCCGCACGCGAGCCTTCGCGGGCCGCAGGCTCCGGACACTCGTCACGCGGCACTTACTTGTCGCTCACGGCGACGAGACTGTCGTGGCTGACGGCAAAGAGCTGCTCCCGGTGCACCTGCTTCAGCTCGTCCGAGAGGCCGTACAGGAAGTGGTCCAGCCCTGCGGGCATCAGAAAAGCCAGTTCCCACGCTGACCTGCTCCAAGGGCACCCGGTGGACACTCTTGCAGCAAAGGTCAAGCTGTTGCATGGCCCCTTCCCGCAAAGCCTCTCCCCCCGCCAGGGGCGGAAGCCACGCTGCGGAGGGGTGCCCCTCTGGCACCTCTCCCCCGCACCCCTGGGCCTCAGGCCACTCAAGCCCTGGAGTGATGGAGCCCCCAGACCCTGCCCGAGCGTGTGTGTCACCGAGGAGGCGGGGACCTGGCAGAGCTCAGACCGTGTCCGTCAGGAACAGCAAATACCTCTGTCTGAAGGAGGCACAGGGGCGTCCACGGAGGCGAAGACGGAGAGCTTGGCCTCGTCGATGTCCTGCTGTGTGAATCGCCCAGCCTTAGCCCAGTCGACGGCCTTCGCAAAAGACTGGAGCGTTTCTGTCGAATGCGGGTCCCTAGGAGGCCAGAGAGACTCACGCGTTCGCCCCTTCACCCTTACACCCTCTGATTTCACAAACAGAGGAAACCACGTGGACAGGGAAGAAGGCTCACGCGGACCAGACCCGCTGAGGATGGCTGGATAAAGCCCCTCAGTTCCTTAAGGAGCACCCAGAATGTCCTCATAAGCAGCCGTAAGCGGGCCAGTCTGCAAGGACAGCCGGGGAGCCCTCCCCGCTCTGCGCACAACAAGTCCTTGAGGCCCCTCGGGACCTGGGGGAGGCGGGGGCGGCAAACTCCTCCTTCCAGCGGATTTCTAACTCGGGTCCGCAGAAACTCAGGAACTGGTCTAAGGAAAGGGCGGGAGCAAGTCAGGGCACGACAGCTCCACGCCCGGCACCCACACCGGGCCTCTGGGATCGCTGGGAGCCCGGAAAGCTCTCAGCTCCTGTCCTCGGCAACTAAATCTTGGTCTCGGGTAATCGCAGTATTTAAGCCAAAATGTTTCCCGTCACTACTGCGTCTCCTAGACACGAACAACCCAGAGGACACTGCTGGGCGTGGTTTTGCATCCAAGAAGCGAGAAACAAGGGGAAACTCGCCCGCCGCGCGTACACGCAGCCCTCGGGTGGTGAGCGGGGCCGGTGGCGGGGAGCGCGGGGCCCACTCACCGGTAGGAATAAAACGTGAACATCCCGTCGCGGCCGAGTCTAGCGCCTGCGCCGTAAGCGCCGCCCTTCTCTCGGATTTCTGTGTGCAAGAACTTGGCCGTCACGAGACGCGCGAGGACCTTGAGGCTGAGATGGATCAAAGACCGCGTGTTACAACCGCACCCTTCCCACCAGAAGGCTCTCACTTAACAGTGACACACGCTACGCCGTCCCCTTCTCTAAGGCCGAGAACACACACGGGGAGAAAAATCGGACACGAGTTTTCAAACGGGGGCTGCGGGGAGAGGTGGGGACAGGGGTGGTGGCGCCCCTCTCGACTTGGGACAGCGCCCAGGGGGCACTGAAGGTCTCATCGGGTGAGGCCCCGAACCTCATCGCTCGGGCACACGGACAGACCCTCGTTCATCTAAACCCCCACCTGCCCTCTCTCTCGCTCTCTCCCGAAACACGGGGAGCTCTTCGGTACGTTTCTGCGGGGACCCTCCCTGAGAAAACACTCCAACAGAGCGAGTTCTACCGGTGGGTCCCACATTCCTGTTGGGGGCTCACGTCCTGGCGGAGAGAGCTGGAAGCTTCCAGCAGGCATCCTCACAGGACAGAGAGCGGCCACGCCCGGAGCCCCCCAGCCCTCCACACGTTAACTGGAGGAGTGAACGGGTGCCCCTCCGGACGGCGGTGGGGGAGGTGCTCGCCTCGTGGGCGCTCCGGGCCAGACCTGGGCAGACGGGCTCCCCGCATCCCAGCAGGGACCGGGGGTTCACCCCCATGTATTGTCAAATATTCTGTGTGATATAAGGAACACAAGTTCACAGGTGGAAAACTGTAAAATACAAAGGAAGGGGGAAAACGATACTCCTCCTCCCCAGGAGTGCTTACGACACGTTCGTGCTTTAAATGTACTTAAGAGTAGAACTGCGTTGCCTGGTCTGCGTGGCTTAGTGTACAGAGCACAAGTTCCGTTCCTACGAACGTAGACCCCCCTCTCCCTCGAGCCCAGCAGCAGCCCTGCGCCCTCCTGGGCCCTCCCCGGCCCCGCACCTGGCGTGGTCCGGGTCCATGTAGGGGGCGGTCCTCACGCATTCGCCCACGTGGTTCACGGGGAAGGGGAGCAGGAAGTGTGTCTTCATCTGGTGTGGTTTGAAGGTGGGGTCCTGAGGGGACAGGCATGGCCGTGCTGGCTCCCACTTGCAGGCTCACGGCCAAGGGCAGGGCGCTGACCCCCGTCGCTCCTCACAGCTTCTTGCTTTACGATGAAATATCCCAACCCCGACCCAAGGAACACGTAGTTCCTCAACTAGGAGCATTCCCTCCTACGTGGTCTCTACCCAGCCTGCTGCGTGACCCCGTCTTTGCATTCGTCCCCAGACACACGTTAAGTCTTCGTATCTGTGATGAACCACACCACCGTCACAGCCCCTAAGGCAGCGTGGGAGGGGCCGCAGCGCCGACCGCACAGTTCGAGGTGAAGGCGGCCGACCGGGACGCCACAGGAGCACAAGGCCCCCGGGACGTGTCCCCCACACCAGCAGGGCACGCACAAGCCGCACTGCTCCTCCCAGGTGACAGGGGCCGTGTGAACTTACCGTGATCAGCTTCCTTAGGACTCGGGGGCCGCTAATGTGAGTGCTTCCACTGGACCCACTGGGGGCGGGTTTCTGAAAATAGTTTCCAAGAGAAGTGAGAAAGCCCCCAAACTCACCTGATACACTTCAGGTCTGGTCACGAAAATTCAGAGCCAGTGACAGGCGTGAGGGCACACATGCTAAGTGTTTTAAACCAGTGTAATGTCTGCAGGTTCTCAGAGCCTCAGGGAGAGGCAAGGCTGTCGCTGGAAGACAGGCCGACCAGTCCTGACCGGGGAACGGGCACAGGGACACAGCGGAGGGGGGGCAGAGTCCTGTCTGCAAAGCCTGTGGATGGTCACCCTTCCCCGCACGAAGATGCACTCTGCAAGCTAACAGAGCAGACTGGCCTCTGCCTGGGAGGCCGGGACAAACGTCCGCGCGATACAGAGTCCCCTTGAGGGGCCTTGCCAGCAGCCGGGAGACCCGCCTGAGCAGGAGGGTTTCTGGCTGCTCTCCCGCTAGCACAGAGGCTCTCAAACCCACTGCTTTTCCGCATCAGGAAAGCGCCCACCGCAAAGGCCCACGTGACAAGAAGGGAACGCAGGATGGAAGGCCGGACGGTGGGGTTTGAATTAAGCTCTCACCTGGGTTGACACTGGGCAAGCTACTTAACCCTGCTGTCCTCTGCTCCCTCCCCTCAACGGGACATGATGGGGGCGGCCGCAGATGTAAGCACTGGGGCCCATGCCCGGCAAGGGCTCACCTCGACCACGGACAGGTGCCCTGGCTTCCACTCCGCCTTACTCCGACCAACGTTTCGAACAAACTTTTCGACCTCTTTTTCTGCCAGAGACATCTGCTGAGGCATAGCATTCACGGAGCATCTGTTCAAAAAGCCATATATACGTAGGAGAGCT